CACTGTGAATTACAACTCCTACCTTGATAAAAAATGTACTTAAAATAATTGCAAAATTAACACTCCTAAATATTTACATCTGTAGTACTACATGTGAATTCTTATTTGCCTGCACAAGTGCTGCAGTAAAGCTCTTTTAGCAATGAACAGATTTCCAACCTGCCAAAGCTCTCCCTACCTGATGAGATCCTCTCTGTCCTGGAAGACCTGTGTTCTCCTGTTTACTGTGTAATTAGGGAATACCATGTGCCTCATGTTTGCCCTAAGGACTGTGGAGAGCAGGCCTTGACCAGAACTGCCAGCTTCATCCTCCTCCAGTGACTCAGGCAGTGAAAACAGCAGCAGGACTCGGGAAAAGACAGCCCGAGCACCTCTGCAGACCCTGACACATTTTCCAGCCAGGTCCTTCACCCTGGAAGGACAAATAAAAATTTTATAACATGGTTTTTACCATGAGTTGTAAAAACTAAAACATACTGAATGAAGTATGAGAATAACTTTTTTCCAAGCCAATTAATGCATAAACTTGATTGTCCTTGAAAGAAGCAGAGAGACTATGCAGTTTAGTATTTACCCTTCTTTGACTAACTGTGAATTGAAATGCAATGCCACCCTTTTTATTAATAAATTTACTAAATGCAGTCCTCTCTTGAAAAGGCATCTAGATTTCAGTCATTTGAAGCACAACTTCCATTCACCTGCAAAATTTATATGTAAACATGTACCTTTTTAAAATCACTGTCCCAATACCAGCCTGACTCCTGCTGAAGATCGAACGCTGCTTTGACAACTTCAGAAGATCATCCACCAGCTGCTGTTTCTGACCATTTGGGTTTGGCAAGTGAAAGATTTTTGCCAGTGTTTTTAGCTCAGGGGCTGAAAGCAAATCCAACCCTTCACACAGGTCTTCCAATTCAGATTCTAAAAGTAAAATCATCCACATATATTCATTGTGTTATATTATTGTGTCAAGCAACAGCTCACAGTACATTCATACAACCTAGTACTACTCTAATGATTTAGGTTTGATGCCTGAAAGGTAGGCTGGAAATAAAACCCCACAGACTGGTGTCTGCAAGGCAGGTATTTCACTCTGAAATTCTTCTGCACCTTCTTCTGGACCTTTTCACATGTCTACTTTGAAGGAAGGGAATAACCCCTTACAACTTCAAAACAACTACAAAGATTAAAAAAATCTGTTGAGTTATAAAAAAATGCTGTTCAGAAAAGCTGGTGTTCCCTATTATCTAATCTGCACTATTTGAATTTTCACAAGACCACTGATCTACCTGAAGCCTTTATTCTGCTCCTCTATTTTCTTCCCAAGGCACAGACAACCATGTACTGCACTGACCTCTAACATGACACAACTTCAGATTTTATTTGTAGTATTTTAAAGGTTTTTTTATGCTGGCCTTACCTGTTTGTAGGAATCTGGCTTCAGCCAGTTCTTCAATTATTGGTGACAAATCCACACTTATCTCCCCATACTCTATTTTGTTCACTTTTAACCAGTTCAGCTTGCGTTGAAAAAGTCTCACATACAATTTCTGCCCACCAGCTGCAAGTTTTATTTAAAACAGGGAAAGACAAAAAGAAGAGTAAATTCTAAACACAGTACTAAGCACCACATCATCACATTAACCAGAAAAATTACTTTGATACAGGTACTCTCTAAAACACATTTTAAATCTCCCCGTGTTCTACAAGCAGACTTGGTAAAATACCAGACTTACCTTTCCAAGCAATTAATAAATTCATTAGAATCTTTAAGTTTTGTACGTGGAAAAGCATTACAACATGTTTTGTAGGTAATGTACATTACTGAAATGCCTTTTGACATGCTTACCCCTCAAGAAATATTTAGTTTTATAGAAAAAGAGAATTTAATTTTCCAACCCTGCATTTTGTGTTGTTAAGTAGGTCTTTTAGCTTTGTTAAACAGTTATTCAATGACCAAATATTTCATGCTAGAGAACAAAAGAAGCTGCAGTCTGACAGAATAATTTCATAATCACGAAATACCTCTCTGTGCAGCATTCTTTAGGCTCTTATTTTTCCAAAGATAAGCCAAATTATACTAATACATCTACTGAAACAAAACAATGAGAAAAAACTCCTATTAATTTGATTTTTATCAGGGAAGTATTCTTTTAAAGTACCTTTTAAAAAGACTTTTTAATACTAACAATGCCAAAATTCAACAAAGTAGCTTATTAAATTTTAGCTGAAAATAGCCTAGCTATTATCACTACATTCAACAACCTTTTGAATACTTAATTCAAGCCCCATTTACTTCTATTTTTTCCCCTGTCTGCTAGTGCTTAACTGAAAAATGATCATTAATAAAAAAACACTGAAACACTACCAGACCTAGACATATTTAAGAAATGGCAGATAAATATTAAATGTTTATTTAACAATTCTCCTGTCCTTATAAGACCTTTTCAGCCTTTTCTTTAAAAGAATCTTTCCAGGATCAGTTCACTAGGAGAGCTACATTCAGACATATAAGCTTTTCATTTTCTCTGTGGGGACTCCTTTAAAGTCTGCCCCAAGTTTTTACCGTTCTGGAGAAAGGAAAAAGGCTAACACACAAGCATTCTTTCTCCAGGCCATGGAACTGACCAAACTAGGGCTGCAATAATAATTTCATTATAAGCTTCATAAACTTACACTGAGTTAGAGACAACTCACTGAGGAATGGTAAACATTTCAGCAGAAAATAATTAAATACTGGAAAGTATCTATATTCAAGCAACTTCATAGTACTAATCAGGTTTGTGGGCTTTTTAGTGTTATGAAACTGAAAGATGACCTAGGGTAGAAACTTCTCATGTGGGACACAACTCATCTACCTTAACCTTCAGAGTATCCTGCCTGGTATTTCTGGAAGGCAATCGCATCCATCTGTCAGTTGTCCAAGATTTGTTATCTACTGACTTAGTATCATCCTCTCACTTCTCACAGCTCAACTGCTTCATCTTTCCTACCCTGCAGAGAGAGATTGTTTCATCCATGACCCTCACATCCAGTGCAGACATGGATTTATCAGCACCACTTTGCAGTAATTCTTTCTGTACTCCCAACTCACACTACTGGAAGAGAAACAAGAAGCTCTTTTATCTAACAGAAGAAGCTCCTGTTACCAATCAGTGTTGTTCACATCCAGGGAACAGAGTGTGGAAAGGGGGAAGGTGTATCCTGAACATCTCTTTTAGTGTTTGCCAAAGTGGCCAACACCAGCACACACTACTGGCCTAACTGTGAGTTTATTCCTAGATCTTTGGATGCAAATGATGTGCATCTACTGCTTGCCTCAGAGAGCCAGTAACAAGACTTCTGTTGCTTTCTTTCTTTATATATTCCCTTTTAACTACCACAAGACAAACAAGGCATTACCAAGCTCCAAGATGTCCCTACTGTAATATTCTTATGGGCTGGAGTGCACCAATGGGCTCTGCCAACCCCCCCAGGTTTGGCTGCTTGTGTCCATGGCCAGCTGAGATGCATGAGGATGCAAGCCTGGCTGCTGGGTGGCCTGAGTGAGGCTGTGTCCCCCCATTCTCTCAGGAGCTGTACCTAACTACATTAGCAGAGTTTATTTTTTAAAAAGCCACTGAGAAGAAGGAGCTTCTTCCCTTAAAAAATACATCAAGTTACAAGCTCAATTGAAATAGTACTTCTCACATAAAACTATGTAAGTAAAAATGTTCCACAACAAGAGGGATCGTGGAAATGTATTTAAAATAAAAACATACCTGATAATTTGTAGAACTTGGTTATAATGTTCAAATCTTGTTCATTAAATAGTCTGACATCATCTTCATTCTGCAATACTGCTCGCAGGACTACTAAAAAATTCTGGAGGTAGTATGGGTGACCAGGAGAGGCTGGCACAGAAAGGACCTCACCTATTTTGTCTAGAATGTCCCCAGTGGAATCCTGAGATTCTGTCTTTTCCATGTCATTCTTGAAGTCTTCCAGAACTTCCACAGGAAGTACCTCTGCATCATCCTTGCTAAAGCAATTTTCTGTCCCACAGTTCACTTCTTTCTTTGAAGGAGTAACCTCAATGTGAGGCTCAGTCTCAGCTTCCAAATTACTGGTCAGCTCTGCTGAAGTATGGATGGCTAGAGATGTTTCAAATTTATCAGGACTAAGTATCCCACCTTCAGAGCTGCTTTCTGCTTTGGTGCTCCTTGTACCAGATGGGAACCTTTTGTCATTAGTGTTATCAGCCAGTAACTGTATTTGAACCATATCCACAAGGTCTTCTCCATCACATTTGTTTATTTTGTTTTGAAATTCAGATTCCCTCTTTGAAAAATTTTGCTCCTGGTGCTCTCTCTGAGAAGGCTGATTTTCTTTCTGAGAACTCTGCCCAGCATCAATCTCATCACCATCATCAGGTGCTGCAGCACTTCCACAGGCACTGTGAACAGCTGGAGGTGAAGAGTTGATCTCTTCATACAAGACCTGTTTTCCTCCCTGCAGGCAGCGTCTTCTGGACAGCTTGGCAGACAAGCTTCCCAAGGAGACTCTTCTAACTGTTCGAGCCTGGGATTCACTGTTGACACTAAAGACTGAACCACTCTTGCTAAAATAAGGACTAGTCTGTTGTGCTGCACTCCGTCCTCCTTTCAATAAATTACTTTTAGAAGGACTTGTTTCTAGATTTAAGAGGTTTTTTGAAAAATACGAGCTGGAATTATTGCTCAGATTTTCAGCTGGGGGACTCTTATTCCTAAAAGAATTCAGTGTAGCATCAGTGGCACCAATCTCACCAAGGTTTTTCTGACATGTTTCATCCATGTGCTTATTTATTCCATATCTTGGCACCAATTGCCCACACATGGGACAGCTAACTTTGGCAGGGGGAACATTGTTAAAAAAGGAAGTAATAGAGGATGATGCTGAAGGTGTAGATGGTGTTCCTGCAACTTCCACTTTTTTTGTTGCTTCTTTTTTCCTCTTATTTTTACTGAGTGACAAACTTATTTGGGATCTTTTGATTCCTGAAGACCTAGATTCTGCCATTACAAAACTTCACAGCGATTACATGGCACAGACAACTCCATTCAGGCCATATTTCTTTATTCTGTAATACTTAAAAGACCTTCCTTGGCTTTTCCTTTTCCATCTGTAATCCTCTGACATGCCTTGAAAAAAAACAACACTGAATGAGTGGTCTTCTAAGGTACCAAATGCAACCAAGATGAACAGAAGAAAGGCAGAGAAGTCCGTAACTTACAATGCTACTGTCCTTTAGCTTGCCTTACCAGGCAGGGAAGCACACCACAGGCAAGCTGAGCACTGCAGCTGCCTTTAATAATGGAAAAGGAATCAAGTTTGCATTTACATCAGCAAGTGAACCTGGAATTCAAATAGGCCAGTCCTCTAATTTTCACAGAACAGTCAGAGATGAAAGGCACCTCTGGAGATCCAGTCCAACCCCCCCGCCCAGGCAGGGTCACCTGGAGCAGGTGACACAGGAGCACGTCCAGGTGGGTTTACAATGTCTCTGGAGAGGGACTCCATGACCACCCCACACAGCTCGCCCAGTCTCTGCCTCCCTCAGTGTGAAGTTCTTCCTCATGCTGAGGTGAAACTTCTTGTGTTTTAATTTATGGCCACTGCTCCTCATCCTGTCGCTGGGAACATTTTATCACTGTCTAGTTTGCTACCGGCAGACTATTTTCGGTGGCAGGCATCCCCTTGCAGAGCGCTCTCCGGGCTGCCCCGCAGCCCTCACCCTCACGGCTGCCGTGCCTGCCCAGCCCGTGGCGCGCTCGGGCCGGGCTCTGCCAGGCCCAGGGCTCGGGAGCGGCCCCACACCGCCGCCAGGTGAGCTGGGCGGGGCCCAGGCTCCCGCAGGGGTCTCGGGACTGCCATCCTGACCTGCCCGCCCGCTGCCGCCACCGCCCCTCCCCGCGCTGGGACGCCCTCAGCCGCCTTCCCCCACACGGCGGGCCCCAGCCGGAGCCTGCCGCAGCCCGCCCGGCCCCGGCCCCGGCCCCGGCCCTTGCCCACGCACCGGCCCCGCAGCGCAGCCCGCCTCGCTCCCGGCGCCGCGCGGGGCCAGGCCGCGCCCCTGGGCCGGGCCGGGGCCGCCGCTCCGCCCGCCGCCAGCCCTGAGCAGCGCAGCGCCGATGGCGGCACCCGCCCCCCGCTCCTCAAACACTGCGGGCTCTGCTCCGAAATTCCCTTTTACTGCAAAGCATGGAAAACAGCTGAGGTCCACAGGAATCGCAACTAGAGGTTTGTTGTGGGTGAGTCTTTGGGGTTGTTTTTTTTTTTTTTTGGTTTTTGTTCGGCTAAGAGCAAAGAGTGAAATACTTTCACCCTCAGACGTATTGTTGGTATGGACTCTGAAAACGGTGCTGGTATGGGAGATTATTCCTCTGAGTGTTAAAAATAAGCATGAAGAGAAGGGACCTCATCCCTGCCTGTCAGAGTGTGCAGGGAGCTGCAGAGGAGGGAGCAGGCTCTGCAATGGAACCAGGCAAGGGGCAGAAACTGAGACATTGAGCGCTGGATCAGGCTGCCCAGAGAGGCTGGAGTGCATGGAGCTCTCACTGGAGCTATTCCACAACAATCCTGTGCCATGTGCTCTGGGATGACCCTGCTTGAGCAGGAGATTGGACCAGATGACCCTACTGAGGTCCGTTCCAACCCAAACCATTCTTGGACTCAGTCCAAGTTAAAAACTTCCTACCTCTGGGTTACCACAGGCTTTGTGTCCTCCCTCTTTGCCAATCACAAGTTCAGAGTATAATTTCTACAATTTAAATGCCTGGATACATTCTCAATTTGTCAATAAATGCAGTTCCTCCTGCTCTAGATCCAGAGCTATTATAACAGCAGATACAAAGCTCTGGGCTATAGATTAAAGAGACTGTATAGTTACAGCACATGTCGAGTATTTTACACTGATATGTATCTGCCCACACCACGAATCTTTCTTTTTATAATAAATAGAGTTCTATGGTAGGAAATAAGAGTAAAATCCACAGCAAACTGTCTGAACATCACTTTAGAAGTTCACAAAGTATTTTAAAAATCAACAGAGAATAAAACCTACTCAAATTCAGAAGAAAATTTTAATATATACAAGATGTATATATCTGTGTACCTGTATAAAAAAGGTAAATTACAACTTCAGTTTATGAACAGAGATTGCTTTCTCCTTCTTCTGTTTCTTCTTTAATTTGCTGGCATCTTTGATTTGCATTCTCACTTGATCTTGTAGCTGAGAAAAGAAGGCCTGGGATGATTTCAAGGCCTTGTCTTTACCTTCATCCTGCCATTGGATAAAACATTTGTTATAACCAAGACACACACAAACACTACCATTATATTACTTACTAGTTACTCAAGCATAATGGTATTTCATTTTAAAAAGATCTGGTAACTGATTTTCAAAGGATATTGTTCACCACATTTTTATTCCACTCCTGCTATCTAAATAAGTAAATATTACATTATCTTCCTAAGTAGCAATTAGCCTGATAGGTAAGAGCAGGCATCAAGAACAGACCCTTGCACATCATGAACTACAATAGGGTATCTATTTTGTGTTCTACTTGCCTTCTGAAAAAGTAAGTACAAACATCTGGAAGTAATGAAGTTATTTTTCCTATTACTTTCTAATACTTCTAAATTTCAGAGATTTTTAGAGTTCTATTTAAAAGGCATCATAAGTGGTGCACGAGTTTACTGTTTTATAGCATGCAAAACAATATCAATCTGATGAGATTATAGGGAAGGCTCCACAATAAGGGCAAAGTTAAACAGGAATATTGTATTACAAAACAGTTTAAGTTACCCAAAGCTTATACAGAACATAGAAACCTCAATGTGCATTCAAGCAATCCCACTTGATGAAGTGGAACGGCTTAAATACCGGAAATAAAGAAAATGTCTTAGTATTTGCAGAACATCACTTTGTGAACTTCGAAATAAACAGAAAAGTAGCACCTCACACAAAATCATTTCTGCCTGATGAACATGCTTTTATATAGAGTAATTGTATCAGCTTTTTCATATTTTACATACAGCTTTTTCATATTTTTCCAACCTTATACTTGTAATTCTTTGGGAGAAAGTTTCCTTTCCTCTCTAGAGAAAAATTATCTGTCCTTGGGATTTTAGTCTTACCTTGAGCAGGGATGCTTTGCCTTCTTTGGTAAGCCTTTTTAATTTTGCTGCAGCAGCTTTTTTGCTAAGTTTTGTGCCTTGCTCTGGTTTCATCTTTTCAAGAAGCTTTTGACGTTTCTCCTTTTCCTTTCGCTTCATACGTTTACGGAGCTTTTTCCTTCTGAGTTCTCGTTTTTTGTCTGTGGGAGTCTTTTCTGCATCTGTTTTTACATCACCAGCTTTGTTCTTTTCCTAAATAGATCCATAACAGTGCAAAAGACAAGACTCACTTCACAGAACTCAAATCTATCTCAGCATTTCCATTATTTCAAGTGACAGCTCAGGATAAGGCAAAGGCCAAAAACTGACAAAAGCTGGGAAATGAGATTTGTACAACATGCTAATTGCTCTGCTGTAGTGTTGTTTAGCTTTCCCCCTCTCAATACCCATATAAATGCTGGGACAACAATGACCATCAAGTAACAGTTAAGATCAAAACCAAAGCATAGTAGTATGGCCTACTGGAGCCAAATAAAATTTACTCTTTTCCCAGTTAGGAAAAAAAGAAAAAAATAAAAAGCAAAAAAAACACCACCTCAGGCCTCAAAACCTCCCAAAAACCACCAATGCTAAAATTCTAGGCCAAAAAAGTCCACAAGGTGAGGAAACACCTATCAGGATGGCAAGGGTAGAATTCCCACTGATCTGACAGACAGTACATCCTTCTATAACCCCCTTATGCATTTTATATTTACCTTGATCTCCTCTGGTGCTAAGAGAGCAGCATCACTAACAGCAACTGGTGCTACTTCTTCCATACTTATAGCTGGAAGGTTTGAAACGATTTTAATTTCTGGCACCGGCTAGAAGTAAGGAGACACATTCAGGACTGAGCACAGCATCTCAGCAGCTGACAGACAACTGAAGATCACAAGTAGCTGGGCTTGTTTAGAGGCAATCACAGTGCATTTAATATGAAATAAGAATTACCTCAGTAAACACCCATGTTTACTTTGCTTTCCATTTCTGGAATGTATTTTAAAGTATCCAGTTCAAAAAAAGGGAGAAAGCCCCCAGCTTTATGAAACTTATGCACTTACTGGTTTGGGTGTGAAGTGGAAATTACAAAGTGCATCCAGCTTCTGGAAGAGTGAATCCATCATTTCCTGAATTTCTTTGTGTTCAGGATTTTCTTCCTCTTCAGTCTTTTGCTGCATTAAAAATGCAATGTAACTGTAACACCATTCATAAGGCTATTTTACTTTAGCAAGACTGGTAAGAACACAACTTACAATTCAGAGCCCTTTCACTGGTGGACACTCAGAGAAAGACTAAATTACTTCCAGTTGGAAAGTGTATAAATGAACACACAATAGTACACAGTGTGAACTTCAAACCCAAAGGAAAGGCATTGTTTTTGTTACCTGGTGAAGTTTCATGTATTCTTGCTCATAGATTTCAGCGAGACTCAGCTTACTCTTTTCATGATCCAAACTGATCCGCTTCTTGTAATCAAAAGCTTCCTCTTTGGGTTTTTCTTTTGGTACTACGTCATCCCATGCCTGAGAAAGTCATAAAGTAATGACCAATTGCAACTACAGTAAAGTACCAGTTACATCTATTTTAGAACATTTTTCAGTTATTTATCTGGCATATTAACTAGTTTATGCATGTAGCTTCCCAGGACTCATCAAGTTCTGCACTTCTATTAAAAAAAAAAAAAGTAATAAAAGTTACAGCTCTACTTAAGTCCTTGGTTTTAGTGAATGAAGGCAACAACTATAACAAGTTACAAACTCTTCCCCATCTTTTTAAATTCAATGAACACTAAGGCTCAACAAGCTGTGAGATACAAATCTTCTGTCAGTGGCTTTGAAGCACAATGAAGCAAACAACTGAATTTTGGTCAGTGTGAGAATGCTCAGAGCACTAGTTATGGTAACAGCCAACACTTATAGACTGGCTTTATATTCCAAATAACTCCTTACAGTTTTATCTGCACACAGTCTCTTTTGAAGTGCTCCAAAACTGGGCGCATAACAGGGATATAAAAATAGGGCTCCTCAGAAATCTAAAGAAATACAATTAATATCAAGAAAAAAGAACCAGTCACAGAAATTAAGGTAATTCTACACCTAACATTGCAAATTATTCCAACTCATCCTTATAATGTGCCCTGTGAATCAAGTCGATGAGCAATGTAAGGAGGAACAGGTAAGATAATATTAACCTCATCCAATATTCTTTGTTTAATGAGATCTTCAAGCTGAAAAGTAGTTTCTTCTGTGATCACAGGTGCTGAAAGAAAAAGGCAAAGAATTTTAAGATTAATGTTTCTCCAGCAAGAAACAAGTCTTGTCCTATAAACAACAAACTACACAAAAAGAAAGTAAAACCTTCACAAAAAAGTAGCAATTGAAAGTGAAGTAAGTAAATATACATAAAAGTAAGTCACATTACGTAAGGCTGATAAATTATTAGGTTTGCTACCGAAGTTATGAACTTTCAGGTAAATTAAAAACTAAAAAAAAGAAATTATAGTTTCCTGTAGTTTCTACTGTGAACATGCAGGGTGAAACAACCTCAAAATCACATCAAGAAGTTTAACCTGTTCTCCTGTTACCCTGCTCGAGTCACGGGTGTTTTCACCAAGGTGAAAGGGCAGAACACCCAGCATGGTCTGGAACATGCTGTGAGCAAAGCCCTGTCCCTCTCCTTACCCATTCGGACTGCGTGGTCAAAAAGCACTGTTTCCTCCAAAAGGCTGTTCTCAGGGCGTTTCTGTCCAGTCACTTCTCCTTTCAGCTGCCAAGGTTTCTCCTCTAACAATGCTTCTTCCAAGCTTTTTATTTTTTTGCTCATCTGGAAAACACAATTTCCTAGGAAGTTTAAAACAGGGCTCACTTGTAAACTCACAGCAATAAATTAATATTTATTTCAGGTACATGAGGGAATATATGATTGCAGATGAATCTATGTAGATAAATCACATGTTTTCCTTAAATTTTAAATACCTTCTTTGAATTTGCTGGACTCTGAACAAATGAAACAACCAGTAGAAAACAAAAAATTATTTGCCACCGTTTTGAAGTATTAGCCAAATAAAATATGAACAAAACCCAAAGAAAACCAAACCAAAATTACCTTTTCCTGTCTCTTCTCAAATGATGACTTTACTTCACTGGGACTGATGCCCTTCTCTAATTGCCCTTCAGCTACATCTTCTGTTTCACTGTCATCTGGCACATTGAAAGTTACTTTTTTAGAAGCTTCTTTACTTCTCATGTGCTCCACCATTTCATCCATATCCTCGAACCTGTAACAATAACATTTAATATAAAAGTTGAGAAGCCTTTATAATTTTTCACATGAAAGTATTTCAGCCCTTAGATGTTTACCTGCTACAAGTAGCTTACAGTTTACAACAGGTTTCAAGGATCCCCCTAAAGGCAGAGATACTAGGGAAACTTCTGGATAATAAAAATAACTTTGAACTCTTAAATATTTTATTCAAATAAAAATCAAGGGACAATATTTAAAAAAAATTAAGTAAGTTGACAACACAAACCATGAACATACAGCAGTTAACTGAGAATGGCACGCTATGACCAGAGTGAGGGTGGCATTCTCAGTATTTTCTGCTTTACTTCTGTGTAAAATTATGAGAACAGTTTACCTGCATTTTACTTACTCAGACATACTTCCTTCATTTTGCTCTTCAATGGCACTGTCTGCTTCCTCTTCCTGATCCTCTTCAGCATCATTAGCTACTAAATCATCATCACCATCATCATCAACTGGATCAAAGAAATCTTTGTATGTCATATCTCTTGAACTTTTTATTGGCTAAAAAGGTGAGAGGGAAAGAAAAAAACAAACAACAAACCACAGCTGTTAAGACTGACAGAAATCAAAGAATATCTTGTCTTTTAAAGTCTTTAGTGCCTGGGGAACAGCACTTCTTGTTCAACAGTAATTCAGGGTAGTGCAACAGTAATTCCGGGTAGTGATGCATTAACCAATGCTAGGCCATCATAGTAAACTGATTTCTTTTCCTGGTGTTTACAGTTCTCTACCACTTACACATACAAAAGTCAAGGAGCTGTAGGTTTTGCCAAATACTTGTTGGAATGCACACTGATTCCCTGGGTCTATTTCTTACTTGCTAGTGAGAATGTCTGGTAATATTGACTAATAATATACTTATTTTTGAATCAATTACTCATCAATTTATGTTGTATCACAGTCACAAGGCATGTCCCTGGGAAAAGTCCTTTGCTCTGCATCAGCCACCTTAGTGATCTCTAATTACTAGATGCTGATCTTTTAATTTGCTGGGTCAACTATTCTGCAATTCTTCAAGGTCCCTGATTTCCTGGGGATATTATCTCTTCCTTTATTTATCTAAAAGCCCAAAGCCCATGTAAGGAGAGTCTGGAATAGCAGGATCCTATGTCCTTCTACACCAGGAAATTTTCTTACCAGATAGTAATTGTTAAAAGGTTCAGAAGGAATCTTTAGTCTCATAAACAAATGTAACTTGGCAGTTTCTACACTTTATGGTCATCCTAACAGATACCAGATTTTGATTTACAGGAAAAAACTCACTTTGACTTTAGCTTCTTCTAAATCTTTGTCATCATCTGAGATAATGTCTTCAAAATAATTAATGTCATCTTCTTCTTCTTCTTTTTCCTTTTCTTCCTTCTCTGCATGTTCTAAAAAAGCTTCCATCTCAGCTAGCTTGAAAAACTTGTCATCCACTACAGATTTTCTTCCCTTCTTTCTCAGTGTGCTTTCCTTGGCTGTTTTAGCTTGTTGCTCCAATGCTTCAATATCAAAGTCAATATCAGAATCCTCATCACTGTATTTCTGCATTATGCTTTCTCTGAGTTTACTTTGCTTTTCTTTAGCTTTAGTTTTAGCTTTTTCTTTATCTTTTGTATACACATTAATTTGTTCAGTTTCTGCTTCCATTATGTTGTCTTCCAACTCCTTGTCACTGCTGGTCTCTGCATCAGAGCCATCCTCTTCCTGGTCTGAGAGAAGACAAAGATCTTCATCCTCGGCATCCCTTGCAATGGATTTCTTGAAGAAATCGAGAACTGCATTGTTCTGGAGCTCCAGTTGCTGCCAAATCTGTTCTTCATCAAACTTTTCTATCACCAGCTCTTTTAGAGGACCCCCACGAACTATGTTACTTCCTTTATTCAAATCGTAGAGAGTCTTTGTCATCGCTCTGAAGTCGGCAGCCAGCCCATCCTGCACACTGAGAGCAGAAAAATAAAAGAGCTTAACACTTTCCACCAAGTCAATCACACGGTCACACGGCTGCTCTTGTTGTACCTGCTTTGGTTCTCAGGTGCTGCAGAACAGCGCCTTTCAATAGCTACTGCTGCAGCTTAACTTTCCATACATCGCTTGGAGTACTGCTACCACACAGTCACGGAAAAAAATCACAAAATTCTTAATCCTTTCAGCTTTATTACACTTCGTGTAGGAAGTAGCAGCTGGACAGAAAATTCCAGCTTTCTACAGCTGCATCTTAAAATATGTTGATCTTATTTAAGCACTCCAGACATTTTGGGGAAGTAAACAACACAGCACTAAACACCTCAATCGTCCACGAGCCAGACCCCAGGTTTGAAAGATGCAATTGAGCATCTCCACCGCCTCACTCCTCAACTTTTACACCTGGGTAGGTGTACAAGGTTTTTCTGTAGGGTTACCAATGCCTCCCCCCGCCGCCCCGCGGTACCTGAGGAAGCACTCGGGGCGCGCCGCCGCTGCTCCCGCCACCCTGAGGCAGGTCCGGATGCCCTGGATGCCCGGGAGCGCCGGGAGCCCCGGGAGCCCCGGGAGCCCCGGCACCGCCGCCATCGCCCCGCGCACACGTGGGCCCGGCTCCGCCTCCGCCGCGGCCCCGCGCTCAGGCCCGGCCGGCTCCGCGGCCGCCGCCAAGGTTCCGCACACAGGGGTTCCGCACACATGGGTTCCGCACACAGGGGTTCCGCCCGCGGAGCTCGGCCCGCCCCGCTTCCGAGCCGTGGTGTCCCGCCTCCTGAACCGAAGCATCCCCGCCCCTGGCCCAGCCCTCTGGTAGAAGCGCCTCGTTCTCCCAGAACCGCCAGCACAGTATGGCAGTCGCGCCCGATGGCTGCTGCTTCCCAGCCTGGGAAGGGCGCGGTGTTGCTGCAGACTGGGATTTGCATCAGTGCTGGGAAACCTGCTCTAAATATAGTGAAGGTACATTCATCTTACTTCACAGTTGTGAATCTCTGACCTAGATACGAGGGCTATTTTGGAACTGCACATTTCCAGCTGATTCTGCCGGTAAAACACCTGATCTTACCTGGTGTCTGCAAGTTCAGGCTAACGAGATGCACACACGCACACACACACACACACCTTTCACCATCCACACAGCACTGCCCAGTGCTCTGCAAGTCCCCTCTTACATCTTGTAGTTTCTTAGGTTTATTTTGTAAAGTCAAATTAAGCCTTACACCCAGACCCTTGTGTTTTCAGCCACCCACACAGCCCTTCTGCAACTTGATCCAAAACTGTGACTAACCTTTTAACTTCAATACTGCTCCTGCCTCTGCTGCTTTCATGTTTCTTTCCTACCAGCACATAAAGCCTTTTCAGTGCAAAGAATGCCCTGCAATGCCACAAATTAAGATTTGAAGTGGCACAAGCTGCTTATCTACTTAGGCTGTATCTCAGCTAGTAATAGTGTGCTATGCCTGCCACAGCAAGACTGCAGCATCAGCAGACAGCCTGCTCACTATCCAGAGTCTCTCTGGCACAATGCTTCACGGCATCCCGGTCTGTACCAGGAACAGCGTGTCCAACAGGACCAGGGAAGTGATTGTTCACCTGTATTCTGCACTGGTAAGGCCACCCTTGAGTTCTGGGCCTCTCAGTTCAGGAAGGACTTTGCGATGCTGGAGCATGTCCAGAGAATAGCAACAGAGCTGGAAAAGGAACTGGAGCACAAGTCGGATGAGGAGTGGCTGAGGGAGCTGGGGGGGCTCAGCCTGGAGAAAGGGAGCCTTGGGGTGACCTTATTGCCCTCTAAAAGTCCCTACAACAGGAGGATCCAGGCAGACACCCTCAAACTCCACCGGGTGACAGGTTGGACATCAAAAGACATTTCTTCTCAGAAAGGGTGATTAGATACTTGAATGGGCTGCCTAGGGAGGTGGTGGAGTTACTGTTCCTGGAGGTGTTTAAGGGAGGTCTGGATGTGGACTTAGAGCTCTGGTTTAGATGACAAAAGCGCGTTCAGTAATAGTTTGGACTCGGTGATCTCGGTGGTCTTTTCCAACCGAACTGATTCTGTGGGATTTGCTCAGAAAACTTCCTCGGCAAATGCCGCTTCCTCCTCTTTGGCACGCTGTCTCCGGGACCCGGGCAGAGCCGGGCCCGGCCCCTGTAGGCTCCAGTGGCGCGGTGCGGGCCCGGCCCCGGCGGGCTCCGCTGGCGCGGTGCGGGGCCCGGCCCCTGCGGGCTCCAATGGCGCGGTGCGGGGCCCGGCCCTGCGGGCTCCGCTGGCGCTGTGCGGGCCCGGCCCCTGCCGTGGCACGGCGCTGCCGCACGGGGGGTGCCGGGGCGGCGCTGCCGCGGCGGGGCGGGCTGAGATGGCGGCGGTGCTGCGGCGCGGAGCGGCCGGTAACGCGGGGCGGAGGGACGGGAGCGCGGGCGGCGGGCGCGGGGCGCGGTGTGTGCTCCGGCCTGGCGGATCTCCCCGTGAGAGCCCCGCAGGCCGAACGAAGCTGCCGCTTCTGTAAATAAAAACAGGTTCTCCCGATCCGACTGACGGGCGCATTAACCGCTGACGTTAGCTGCGTAGGATAAACTTAGAGAGCAAACGCCAAATCTAAAGTGCAAGGAGGAACTTGTCTTTTTTGATGTGTGGTTTGGAGGTCAAATTCAAAATAATTTCCCGTTTATGATAATAACCTGTACTGCTCACTCTGGTAGGGTAGGTTTAACTCAAAATACCTAAACCACACTATTTTACTTGGTAGCCCCAGACCAGGAGAAAAGTGAATGTGAGGCTCAATGCTGTCAGTGATCGATCAGTAGGATACTGGGAATGAAAACACCTTCGTATGACTGCACTTTGAAGGAGGGAACAAAAGCCACAGCACACTGAGACTCAGTTCCCTTGAGCTGTGGAGCCCATCTGATTCCCAAAAGCCCCGTCCAGCACAGAGCAGCACTGTGAGCCCAGTTAGCCTCCAGAGTTCCCAGGATGCTCACACCACCCTGAAATTGTTGGAATTTAAGAATGACCATACTATGCCCTTTTCTCCATTTGGCCTAGAGAGTGAGCACACAGCCCCTATGTGCCAGATTCCCTTTGGTAACAGCATCCTCTCCATGCTTTGGGAGTTTGTCACCACCTGAAAAGAGTGATGATAAAGCAGTGCCCGTGACAAGGTTCTTGCTGCAACCCACTGTTGTAAAACTTTCCCATAGAGAATGTGACTGAATTCAGTTTGGTTTGGCTTGTATTTGATTCCTTAGTTTCTTTGATTAGGTCAATGAACACTGCTCCACATCAGAAGCAAAAAACAAGGCTATGAATAAACATTTGAACTTGTTACTTTAGAATCTGTTCGGTTGAAGAATGTAACCCTTAGTTGGTACAACTGTATATTTAAACTCTGATGTGCATACTACAAGTAGATCAGTCAATCATCAACAGAATGATCCCCAAATAGATCAATTTTAAAATATTCTTCAAATGAAGCTGAAGAAGGTTATATACTATAGAACTAGTTTTGTGATGCATATATAAATACAAGTGTTTCTTTCCTGGAAACATGGAGATGATGGGGTTTCAATCTGAAGTTTGCTGAAAAGCTTTCTTTTTCACTGCAGGGCCATTTTTGATTATTGGGTTAGAAGAAGATTAGAATTTTAAGTAATCTATATAGTTACTAATCTAGATAATGTAAGAAAAACACAAATGCTTTTTGTTTAACCTCAGTCAATTAAATTATGGATTTAAAATTAACACTATGCATCTGACTAGAGCTAGGATAAATTCACAAGACTTCATAAAATAAGCGCTTATATGAGTGAGCATTTAAGTATCTTTGACTTTACAAGAATCCTAGGAATATACTTCACTTTTTCAGTCTATTGTCTTCCCAGGAAACAGCACAAGAAATCAAATATTTCTGGGGTAGAACCCATAAGAAAGAGCATTTTCTATTATTTTTTCTAGTGCTTCACAAATAGCTGAGTAACAAACTGTGTCTTTGTGTCTGTGTCTTTGTCTATTTACTTGAAATAGAAAAAAAAAACAAAACAAATTAAATTACTATAACTGTGTGGTCATATGTGCCCTGTGTAAAGTGCAGCAAGAACTACAGATGTCAGATGTAAAATAATGGGAAAATCCTTGCCTTTTCATTAGTAAAGACTGCTTGAAAATAAATCTACATTAGTAGTATTTCTGTTGAACTGCAGTCTGTTAATATTTGGAAGAAAAAATAAAACAGTAAAAGGCTCTGGAACACATAATAAATTATATAGTAAGGGATCCTTCTCTTTTAAAGGATTTTTCTTATTTAGAGAATACTGCCTTCCTCCAAGTGGAAAAATATCTCTTGCTTCAGCAAGAATGTCTTAAGAAATTACAGTACAAAATGGAGCTACTTCAGTAGAAGCTTAGGTGGGCAGGAAAGACTGTATAGCAGATATTGGGGGGTTGTTACTTTTGTAACACATTTATTTACTCTGGTTAATTGTCAAACCCTATACTAGTTAATTAGCCATGCCTTTAATCATGTACATTTGTACCTTATGCATTTGAGGCATTGCATAGTGTTGCTCCCTCACAGAACAATGTGGTTCACCCTGATTCAGCTGCACTGACATGGCAAGTGTTTCTACAAAACAGTTTCTGCACAGACATTTGAAAAACAAAATTTTTATGTGGAAATTTCAAAGGGATTTTTTTTAACATATAAGAAATTGAAAGGCAGTGGCTGTCCTATACCAGTATGATAGCCTAAAGGTGGTACCAAGTGAACGAATTGTCCAGAACTTCTGGCTGTGTCGAAGGAGATGATGGACTGTGTGAAAGCCTGGCAAGAAATACTGCAGGGCGGTTACTTGCAGCACTAGAAAAGTTTCTGGAAATACTTAATGTAGGATGTTGATTTATTATCATAAAAAAATTGTGAATAGACCTTTTTTTGTGATACTGAGTCTTTGCTAATATGCACATTGCATGTTGGAATTTTAACTGTCAGATACATGCAAACATTTCTTCCTCCATAACAACACCATGCTCAGAAAGACTTAGGTTTAAGGATTTATCAGTTTTTGAAGAAAAATTAACTGGTAGGTGTAGAATCTTGAATTCCTGTGGAATGGTAGCTCTCAGTTCCATACATGGAGCAAAGCTGATTTAATTAATTACAGCTATTACTGACCTTACAGAGCACCAAGAGCCCAGCCAGGCTAGCTATCCTCAGTGTGTTGCAAAGCATCCAGAATCTCAGTGCATCATTGGCACAATCTCTTAGCAAAATAGCACATTTGTGACTTTAAAGGAAAGAACGCCTCAAAGACTCCCAAAAGGATAAGATGCCTCTAGCTTGGCCTTGAGGCATTGGGAGCTCTGACTTGGCCTAGAGCAAACTGGCATGGAATTATAATGTGGCTTTTATGACTATGTCTTTTAATATAATTCTAATTTTCATTCTAGAAACAGCTGATATTATAAAAATTTCTCCCCACCCCCAACCCCTCTAGATTCTGATACTGACAGATTAATTATTAAGGTAACTAATTTGCAAGTACCCTCATTTTTTATCTTTCTTTTTTGTGATCTTTTTGTTTGTTTCCTATAATTTTGAGATGTATAGGCATATCCTTATTTCTTTCTCTATTTCTTAAGAAGCTCTGAAAATTTCAAAAGTCACTTTTAAACACATTATACAGTTGGCCTTTACAATTGGTCCTGTTTTCCTCTTTTCAACAAGTATATGGAAAGATTTACACCAAATCTGAGTCAGCTTTGGGTTTTTATTTATTACTCTTTTCATACTTCTGAATATTTACTTAGTCTGAAAACAAAGTAACTGTTTCTTTTCTCTCAGCCTACCCTGAGAATTGCACAAGGGTGTGCCAATGACTTGGCAGCCCTGCAGGCCTTTACAGGGAAAAGAGCAGGCACTGAGACTTTCTCAAAAGCATGGTGCCAGTGCTATTCACTTGTTTTTCAGGGCTTCTTAGCAGACTGCAGCCTTCCGCTCCCACAGTACGAACTCTCTCCTCATCAAAGTCCTTCTCACGAAGCATTCCAAGCTGTTTGTGGAAACTGGGCCGACTTAATCACGTGGCAATTGCAGTGCCTGATTTGGAGAAAGCTCAGTCCTTGTATAAAGATGTGTTAGGAGCCCAGGTGAGTGAGACTGTTGCTCTTCCTGAACATGGTGTCTACACTGTTTTTGTGGAGCTGGGAAATACCAAGCTGGAACTTCTACATCCGTTAGGAGAGAAAAGTCCCATTGCAAGCTTCCTGCAAAAAAACAAGACTGGAGGAATGCATCATATCTGCATTGAGGTATTTTAACGCAATATTTATTGTAATAAGATAGATACATTCAAGTATGCATATTTTAGTAAGCTTGACCTTTGTCAAGAACTAACATATAAGGTTGTCATATTTCTCTCTTATACAAAGGAAAATTTTGATGGGTGAATTGTTTCAAAAAGATAAATATTTTAAGAAGAAATTAAATTATTCCTGACCAGATACAATATAATACCTGCAGTGAAAACCATGCTGGACACAGTAGAGTCAGAGAGCAATCCAAGCCTGGTACTCATCTAAATGGATGCACCCAAAGGGATGCAGGGATTCATTCCAGCTGAGCCCAGACTCCTCTTCAGGCCACCTCTGCAGGACAGGAGCAGCAGCTGTTGTGGCTTTTCTGCTCAGGGAAAGAATCTGGAGGGGGCCGTGGCACATGTGGCCTTTCTAGTTTAGATAATTTGACAGTCATTCCTTTTTGATTTGCAGTCTGGTAGTTGTGTGTAAGAAGAACTGTAGTGAGTTTGGATTATTCATGAACAAAACTACTGCAAATGGGTAGGAATTAAGCGATGCCTGTTTCTCTGGATTAAAGCTAGGAATTTCCTTCTTCCTTACCATGACATTGGGAGAAGAGTTTATTCACCAAATTATGTCCAGACACCTTAGCCTTCAAAAATAGTAGCAGTGATATATTATTATAATTCTAGGTCTTTATTAATTACTGACTACTGAATTTTCTGAACTGAGGGTAAATATTATTATTTCAAAAAAAGAATGCATTTAAGTTTTAGGAAAATTCAAATTTCATTAGATGACATGACATCAGAACTTAAGATCACATTGCACAGTAAAGGCATATTTTTGTTAATTACATATTTCTGTAGGAAATTGTACTGAAATACTGTTTTAATGGCTATTATAGTTAACCTCAATAAAAAGACCACATCTGGATATATTTTTTATTATTCCAAGCTTTTTTCCTTAGGAAACTTCATGAAACTTTACCTACTCAGAGGGAGAATACATAAATCTAAAGGGGCTTTTACCTTCTGCCCACTGTCCTCCCCTTTTCACCACCATTTAATGAGTTAGTCCTCTGTCATCACTTACAAAGGCAGGTATTTTTCTTTAGTTATTGAGGGCAGAAAGTAATGCAGAATTTAGATTATTTATGGAGTCCTTATGAAGTAACAACAAAAAAATGCTTTGTGCATGAGTGATTTTGTTTATTAATTTCTTAAATATTGCACAATCCATTTAAATGGTATTTTATAAAATCTTCAAATAACCAATGCAAACTCCTGTTGTATTTTTAATAGTAGATGTTTTAAAATGGTTTATAACTTATTTTCAGAATTATATTAGAACTTAGAAATAACATTTCAGTAAGGAATTGTTATTGCTCCTAAATGTAAAATCTGCATAATACAGTGCAATATGTTAATTTGTGTGAACTGTATCTTTTTTAAAAGGTTGATGACATAAAAGCGGCTATGACAGAACTGAAGAAAAAAAAGATACGAATATTGAGTGAAGAGCCAAAAATAGGTGCACATGGCAAACCTGTGATTTTTCTTCACCCTAAAGATTGCCATGGAGTCCTTGTGGAACTTGAGCAAGCTTGAGCTGCAATATTCATAAATTAAACAATAGAAGAGTTGTGAAGTTCCTGAGCTGGTGCTGGGAATATTGATGTGGTATTCAGTCTTTACAAGTTCATTGAAGTTCCCATGGATGAAGTACAGCTTTTGAGCACTGAAATAGTGCTACAGATTTAAGGTCTGTCTTTGCTGGTGTTGCTGATCTAATACTTTGGCATTTCTTAAATTTTCTCTGATTCTACGCACAAATACATGAGCTAAGTTACATATGTACCACAGTAATTTATCTTTTGTTGCCTGTTTGCACCACGATCTTACCTCTGTAGCCACAGAAACTATACAGTTTCTAGGTCAAGCTGCATTATTTTGCTCTACATTTCACAGCAGAGACCCACTTCCCAGTGACAACAATATAGCTTAGACATTTTCTTTAGAAATAAAGGCAAACAAAGAATGTGTTTCCTCTTCTCACCATTCACCATCTGTGCTTCACATTGATTGATTGGTTCATGCAATAAAAAAACCTACATGTTATTGTATGGATGTCTGCAATCAGTAAATAAGTTTTTATTGGCATAACAATTACTGCCAAGGAAGGTACCATGCATAAATCATCATTTAGTTGTTTTATGAACTTTGTGGATATGCAGGCAATGCAAGAAGAGAACCTGAAAGCTACTTGCCTGATATATATTTCATATTGTAAGGCAGTTGTGACATTTTAGTTTTTTCATTTTTAGGATTTTTAATTTTTTTTCCCAAGCTTTCTCCATAGAAGGACATCTTGAAGAGACATGAATAAGGTTTTCCTGTGCAGAAGCACTTACAAAATCATTGGCAAGCTCACTCCACGTAAGTATTGCTTCTGTACACAGTTTTTTAGCGTTAAAGATCACACCAGTATGCTGATGTCACAGCCTGCAGGCAGTTTTGTTAATTTATTTATGAACAGACTTCACTTTATTGGTGTATATTACCCAAGCAGTCTTTTCCTGAGACTTTCTTTTATAGGTTTGTTTTGACATTTCAACTGTAGAAATAGAAGACTTGCTATTTCTTTCATTTTCTCAAGCCTTAAAAAGTCATACTTTCCTAGCTTAACTACAGTCTGAATTTTAAATTTTCCTACATCTCTGCATATGTAGTAGGAGCCTTCAGCTTGATACAAAGATCATCTTAGTCTAGGCAACTTTTTACTTAATGGAATTATTTGTAATGTGTGTCATGTTTGCAGCAACAAAATACAAATGTAATGTTGACCTGAGATTTAAACATGTTTTTAAAGACATTGACATTTCCTCATGAATTTTACTTCTGAAAAAATCTCTACAAAGCCATGATTTTTTCTTTTAACAAGATAGTGTTGTACCCAAAATAAATACTCCTTCTCTCCTATTTTAAGAAAAACACAGCCTTCCACAGGAATCCTACATTTCATCAAATCACTGTTTAGAGTGTAGTTTGTGATCTAAATTCTAAACTGTTTAAATTTAGAAATCATAAGGCTCGTGAAGGAAATGCAGAAGGATTTAATATTCCTGAAATCTGATTTGGCCATTCTAGGAGATAGTCTTTGAGCAAAGCTGCTCTTGTCTTTCTGTCAAAGACAAGGAGGTACTTTTTCCTGCAAAAACAGCATAGAAATGCCAATACTAAAAGCCTCACTGGTTAAGATAACTGAATAGAAGTCTTTAAACCAAATACCCTTATTTTGGTGCAACAGAAACAGCCCTCCCATGGTTCATTCTCCATTTCTTTGTCTGAAGGAGATGGACTTCTGTTCATGACATCTATCAACAGATCAGAGTAAGCAGCTTGAGGTAGTGTCACAGCATATGTCAGAGTTGAGACAGCCGCAATACACAGAGTACCCCCATTGAATTTTAGAAGGCTTTAAGCATTCCCCCACAGAGAGCAACACCATATCACTGCAGAAAGCTGCAAGTACCTGCTCTTCTATTTTTTTAGCCCAACCTTTCATACCCTCATGTTGATGCAGTGCACCTGTGTGCCCTCTGCTCCCTTTGGTGGTTGGGCAGTGCCCCTGGGCACTCCGTGGCTCATTGCTGTCAGTGCTGCTCACCTGCTTCTCACAGCTGTGCCCACTGGGGATGAGGCTGGGCTGCAGCCCCACTCCCAATTACCACAAACTGTGGACCTATAAAGTCGTGCTAGAGAACAGAGATTTTTAAGTAAACACTTGCTCCACCTGATGATTGTGCTCCCTATCTTATTGGCAGAAAGGCTTGTGTTACTTCTTAGCTAGTAACCAGCAATTTTCCTGACTGACTGACTTGGGGTTGCCCATCTCTAAGTCAACTGATGCATTTTGTTCCTTGTATCCAAGTCGTGCTCCTGTCTCACAGTTCATACCTTTTTTATGACTATTCCTAAGGTGGAAATCAAGAAAATGCCAACACACACACAGACAACCCCAGTCCTGCAAAAGAGAGTTTAGATCTGCAAATTAGTCAGTACACAAAACTAGATCATGTTCTCACAAGCTCTTAAAATTTGATGGGATCAGACCCCCTTACTTGTCTGGGTATGTGCTACAGGACAGGAGAATTTCCCCTTCTGGAGCTTCAGACTTAGAGAATAGCTAAGGGAGCTACAGCTGCATCTGATCTGAAGACAGCTACAGCTGAGAGAGGTTTCCTGGTCATAAACTTAACTCCCTTAGACTTCAGTGGGAACAGAATCAACCCCTATCAACTGTGTAGTCCTTTACCTTAAAGCAGGCAGCCTTCACAAGTTGTTGTTCTGACTTACCAAGGGGTTGGGACAGGGCTGACTTACATAGGCCTTACTCTTTGTCACTACCATGATCATAAGAGGGGAGTAACACCCAGAAAAACAGTGGAAATTCAGGGATGGAAACTGGGGAACAAGAGAGCTGTGATTTGCTCCTTTCAGTAGATGGGCATTTAACAATACACCCCTGTTGCATCATTTTACAACTTCTGGGAAGAACAACAGTGATTCAAACAGTGGAGCCTGATTATCTTGGAAGGGAAATAGTTTTTGACAGTATTTAATCTTTTTTGGTTTTTGTCTGTTTGGTGGATTTTTTAAAACAGCAAAACCTTCTTCTCTGGTGTCAAGCTTCTCAGAAGATGGAGTGTTAGTATTTTGCCAGTAAATTTTCTCACGCTTGTGCCATTTGTCAAGTGCAAGTTCCCTGTTCTATTCTCTCCATGTGCCTCTTTTCCCCTCTGAGCTGAAGCATGTTCCTTTTTTATGCTGCCTAAGGCAGACAAGACACATTTTTCTGGACTCCATCAACATTACTTAGGCAGCTAAAGAGCTCATAATTAAATGATGCAAAATATCTTTTTTTACTTCATCTCTGCAATCCTCAAGTCACTCCTAGGTGGGAGGAGGTGAAAAGGCTGCAGAATGAATCCCATTCCTTATGATGAGACAAACCTAGAAGCGAACTTAAAATGCTGTGAAAAGAACTAACTTTATGCTTTTTAAAAGCTAACCTTACAGTTTTGCAATTCTGCAAAAACTCTGTTCCTGTCATGCTTATTCTGCAATTAATGCACCCGAATTTCATTCTGAATTCTGTTGCTTTCATTATTACCGTATCAAGCTGAAGTCTCATAGAAAGACCATGAAACATAGAGATGCTTACATTATCTGGTTGAGGTACTTACAGTAGGAGTGTATGGACAGTGATATCCTTGACACTTCATCTCATTCTGTCCTTACAAGGAATTCTTCCTGTAGTGATGCACATGGGTCTGTTGGAGGTAAGAACCCTTAACTAATAGAAAAACTCGGAATTAATTGTTTCAATATCAGTTCTTTTACCAAAGCAGTTGTCATGTTGGCCAAATTGAGGCTGTCAAACAGAATAAGATCATCAAATTCAACTAGTTAATGAATATGAAAATAGGAACTAACAATAATATATAAATTAATCTACCTAGGGCTGACATTTTGCAATGGAAGACATCAACCACTTAGGAATGCAAAATCTGTCACCTTTGACAAGCATTTTCAAAGTACATTGAACAAATTATGAAATAAATATTTATCTTATTGTGAAGGAGGGATATTTATATCTTGTATAATCCTTAAATATCTATAACATTATGTCAACTGTTAATTTTAATGTTTGTTTTCACTGTCTGGTATATTGTCAAAAAGCACTGCTAACTGCAATGTTCATAGCATAGGAATGAGGATGAGATCTGTGATACATTTTAACATAATGATACATTTTGAAGCATTTAATAACTTTTCTAGATCTGAAGTGGCCTTTCAACTGTTACTGCTAAAACAAAAATAGTAAATAGGTAATAAAATCTTCTATAAAGTAGATCTAATTAAAATTTTTACTTATTTTTAGCATTACATTTTTTTCAGTAATAAAGACAGGTTCAAAACAAAATTTTAAGATCTGAAGTAATTTGCAACTGCAGGTACACTGAAAGCATATATAATGATGCACAATTTGCATTAAATAAGGGGAATATCCAACTCTGCACCCATGGCTGGCTTTTATGGAAATGATTACTTCCAGAAATTGAAGAGTAAGAGAGGTATGTTCATGGATTGGTATCATGCACCCTATTTTTTCCTTCCATTTTGGTATGTAATTTTCTATAATAACCATCTGTCTGAATCACTGTCTCCAAAATTATGTGGAGGGAGAATATTTGTTAGAAATTAAATTTTAAAAAGTTAAAAAATACATCCCACTTCCTTTGGGACCTCTGAAGTCTTTGAGAGGACAATTGTGGTACAATACCTGCAACTGCAGTAACTTCATAAAGAAAACATCTGCCCTATTGGGCTGGAAATACTGCTTTTGGTATTTTGATAAAGTGAGACTTTATTATGTATATCAGGCTGTTTCATCAAGTTAACAATTTTGAGAATTAATAATTCAGATTAAAAGATCACTTGCCAAATGTTTAAACAACCTGCCTACAGGTTATATATCTAGATACACTGCAGTTCTGTGTAAAACATACATGTATTACAGTTTGGGTAATGTTTTGAGTTTTCAGTATCTTCAAAAGAAAACCAAAATCTGTCCAGTAATTGGGATATAGAAAGGGACAGATGGGAGAAGACACCATAGAAAACCATGCCAGAAAATAGCCTCTTAGCAGCAAATGGAGAGTCTTAACAAAACTCTTAACAACTAAATCTTAAAAATCTTAACAACTAAATCTTAAAAATCTTAAAAACTAAAAAAAAAAAAAAAAAAAAAAAAAAACCAAAAAAACCCACCAAACCACAAAAAGGTGTTTCCATGAAGGACCTTTGCATGTACATGGAATGTGCCTTGATGCCTTGATGCTAACACCAGGGCAAAATTAACAACACCACACTGAGCACACAGCTATTACAGTAAACACTGATACCTAGCTGATTGTAGTGCAGTATCATTACATTAGGACAGCTTTTTACTTTTGCTATAGTGAGAAAGATTAGCTGCTATCTCAAATTTGCATAATTATTAGCAAAGCCTGTCAGAATTGCTCTAAGATATGTGTTTCTTTATATACAAAATAGTCACTATCACCTAGCTGCCCTAAAAATATCTAGAGGTTTCTAATAAAAGGCCTGAGGAACCAACTGTGTTTATCATCCAGCATAAGAAATGTTCTTGGAGAAACCTCAGTGAGCTTTTAAATAGTACACATTGAATCCTACATTAAACTTTAGGGGTGGATCTATGTATTATTTGCACAATGGCACAGAAATCATGATTTGTCCTCGTAAATCTGGCTGTATGATGGAATGTGACTGAGTCCAGTGCTGTCCCTTGCTATAATGGTCAAACTTTTGATGTTTGGGGCTTTGTTGCGTTGGAGCACCTCAAGCAACAGGGAGAGGTGAGGTGATCACCTAGCAGGATGACACGGCATTCAGGAATGTAATTCGCAGAGGGATGCTGTGGAGACTCCGAGAAAACACCCTCAGCTCCGGCCCAGCGCCAGAGCAGGTCCCTGGGGATTCAGAGGGGCCCTGCCGAGTGCCACAGCGGGATGCGGGCGTGCATCGCTGTGGCGGCTGCTGGCCCGGGGCTCGGGAGCGGAGCTGGCCGGGCCTGCTCCCCTCAGTGCCCGCGTCCGGACACGGTCACCGAGTCAGCACTGCCCGGGCTGGGAGGCACGGCCACCTGGAGCAGGGGACACGGAACGCGTCCGGGTGGGTTCCGAGTGTCTTCAGACGGGGAGACCCCACAGCCTCCCTGGGCAGCTCTCCCAGTGCTCTGCCACCCTCAGTGTGAAGAAGTTCTCCCTCACGCTGAGGTGAAACTTGTCCTTCAGTTTATGGCCATTGCTCCTCGTCCTGTCGCTGGACACCTCTGAGGAGCGCGGTACAGGCGGAGCTGGCGCAGTGCCCGGCCGCGGTCCGGAGGTGGAAGGCGGACGGGTCGGGGCGTCCCGCCGAGCCCCTGGGGCTGCGCGGGGCCCGCCGCCCCCCCGCTGCCGCCGGGGCCGTGAGGCGGCGCGGGCGCTATGCGCCATGCAGGTTCCCGGGCGCTGGCGCAGGCAGGTTCCCGGGCGGGCCCGCCGCGGTGTGCGGCGCTCGGCAGCCACACAAAAGAGCGGCTGCGGCTGCCCCGCTGCTCGGGACCGGCCCCGCCGCTGCACCGCGGTAAGGACCCGGGGCTCAGGGCGGGGGGCTGACCGACCGACCGACCGACCGCTGGCCGGGGTCGTCGCGGGCACCGGCGGCTCCGTCGGGGGTGGGGCGGCAGCATCCCGCGGGTCCCCTCAGGGGAGCGGGGAGCCCCCGGGCACGCACCCGCCCCGCGGCAGCACGGCCGGGGCTCCCCTCGAACCGGGGCTGGGGGCTGCTCTCCCCGCGAGCGGCTACCCCCGCCCCATCCCATCCTCATCCCCATTCTCATCCCCATCCCCATCCCCTGGCAACCGAGCTGCCCGCAAGCGGACGGGAAGCCGGGGTGAAGGGGAGCCCTGCGGCATGGCGGAGCGGCCGCGCTGTCGCGATCGGGGCTCCGGCACCGGGGGCTGCCGCACTCCCGCTTGTCCCCGCTGAGCCCGGGGAGGCGCCGCCACCGCGCCCTGCCAGGCGGGGGAGAACCGGCGGCGATCCCCCGGGCCGGGCTGCGGCTCCGCTCGGCTCCCCCGGGCCGGGCTGCGGCTCCGCTCGGCTCCCCCGGGCCGGGCTGCGGCTCCGCTCGGCTCCCCCAGGACGGTGCGAGCTCCGAGCCCGGCCCGGCCGCCTCAGCCCCGCCGTGCCGGGACGGCGGCTCCGGGTAACGCGGGGACCGGCCGTGCAGCATCCGCATCATGTCAGCGTTTTGTGGGAGGGCGGGAGGCTTAAGTCCGTTTGTCTTAATAAGAGTGGAAAGAAAAGCGAGAGGAGCCCTCCTGTAATGCAGCACCTCTCGGAGTTTGTATCTGGTTCTGATTTCATGTCTCCTCTGTAGCAAAGGGATCAGAGCCTTTGATCTGCTCCTTCCCCGTTCCCTTCATCATGAAATCTGGAGGGAAAAGGGTGCTCAATTAAGAATACCTGATTTTTGTTGGGATAAACAGCATGAGATAGTATAGCACGGTCTGTTTGCCTCTTATTGAACAGTTTTTTGAATATGTGTGTGTGGTGCCTTGTATTGCCATAACAAAAGGGATGGGGGTGGGGGAAAGGAAGGGAATACTGCATTTAGAGCTGCATCTTGGAAAGTCAAAGACTGCCTTATTTTGCCTCAACTGGCAGTCTGTGCTTTCAGATTTACATACTTTGCATCCTCAGAGTTGTTTTGGTGGTTGTTGCATGCTAGTGAGGACATACAAGAAAAGAAATTTAAATAAAGATAAGAGATCATACAACGTGTATAGAACAGAGATAATGTGCATTGCAGTAATGTTTAAGAAAAGTCTGAAATTACTGTGACCAGTTGGAAAAATGCAAGTAGTGTTTTCAGTTGTATTACTTAGCCCTATCATCTCCCAGGACGGGCTGGGAAATCTGTTTGCAGAAAAGGTATTTATCTATTATGCCTGCTGCCCAAGAATCCCTCATTAATTAATAAGTAGAACTGAAGAAAAGAACCAATTACTGTCATAGTTTTTTGTCATTCTGTGTAAGCCACAGTGTTTCAAATATAACATGGTTTTAAAGGGGAGGAATTCTAGTTTAAGTCCTTATTGCCCCTTATGATAAAATACAATATATGCAGGTTATGTGTTTGAGAAGCAAAAGATTGACATTTATGTCAAGCATAAGATGACAATTTATCATTTATCATCCTGGTTCTTCTCCATATGGGACAGACAAGATGAAAGAGCTTTTCTTTCATACGTTGTTCTGTGAGAGCTAAACTGCTGAAGTCGAAACCACTGTCCTTAGTCCATTTCATAGGTTCATAGGATTTCATACTGCAGAACTGTCCTTATAAATCCTGACTGTCAGAGTTTCTAAATCTCTGACAGTTTAGCCTATATCTGCACTTGGAAATATCTGAAGCTATTTTAAAAAATGCATCAGCAGCTACATTATTGCTCGCTCTTGATCCTCTGATAGTAAAGGAAAAGTGTTCTTGCTAAAGCCATAGATGTTCAGCTCTTTTGGTCAAAGTTCCTCCAAAGGAGGAATCTCGATAAGCATGTTTTGTGTAGTTACTTGATTAATGCTGGTTCAGGCTGGGGACTGGACATGAATTAAAACAAGCTAGGTCTTTCAAAAGTGACCTTTGCTTAAGGCTGTGAACATGAGAAACCACTTCAAGAAGCATAATTTTACCATCTCTCGAGCTGTTCTGCTAAGAATATTTGCTAAGAAGTAATTTGTGAAAATACCATGGTTTAACCATCTTTCAGTTAATATTCCTGTGCTGAGGGTGGAGAAATTAGAGAAAGTTCCAAGCTACCAGCTCACAGAGAGACATATAGAGGATTCTGGTTTTGTTCAGAACTAATCTTGGTGGTAGCCTTTGAACACATCAGAGTTCAGGTGCTTCTGCAGAGTTTTTATATCCATTTCCCTTGTAATCTGTGTTTAAATAATCAAGGCAGTTATTTCATGCTTTAAGACTGCAGTGGTAGAGGCTGAGAAGCAGCCCTGCCAAAAAGACCCAGAGGTCCTGGTGGACAGCAAACTGGAAATGAACCAGCCACAACCCCTGAGAACAAAGATAGCCAGGAGCATCCTGGTCTGTATGAACAGCAGTGCAGCCAGGACATTGAGGGAAGTGATTATTCCCTTCTGCTCAGTAGGTGACATTTATAACCCTGGGTCCAGTTTTGGTCCCCCCAGTACAAGGAAGTTATTGAAGACTTGGGGTTCTGCAGAGGCCACTGAAGTGGCTGGGGCTGGAGGCTGAGCTCTGAGCAGAGGGTGAGGGAGTGGGGCTTGATCAGCCTGCAAAAGGGAGGCTATGGGGGCACCTAACAGCAGCCTTCCATTCCTTATAAGAATTCCTCAGGGAACTGGAGCCAGGCTCAACACAGTGGCATGTGCCAAAGAATGAGAGACAAAAGGCATATGTTGAAATAAAGGTTCAGACTAGATACAAGTAAAATACTTTGCCCCACAAGGACAATCATACATTGTCAGATTGCAGGTACAGGTAGCCCAGAGAGGTTATATGGTCTCTGTAAAGACCAGACTGGATAATTCCCTCAGCAAACTGATCAGGGCTCACTGATGACCCTGGTTTGAGCAGAATGTTGGACAAGAGACCTCGGACATTCTTAACAACCTGAAGTGTTATGATCCTGTTTGTGCCTACCTGTGCATGATACAAGAAGCAGACATGTTTCCACAAGTCAGATTTTTAAAGATTTAGAGTTTCCATTCTAGGATTAATCTGTGCATCTCAGCAAAGATGGAATACAGTATCAGTATGATATATTAACTTATATTATGTGTGAAACAGTACATTACATTAATACAAACTAATACCTTACTATAAGCCTCCCAAGGAAGAGATATTTGCTTGAAATAAACAAAAAGAAGTGCATACTACTTGCAAGCAAGAGCTTTTACTAGGAGGTATCTTTTGGCAGTACTAGGAGGCAATTAAAGCCTTGCAAAATTTGTGCAAGAGATGTAATGGTAATGATCTACAGAAAATAAAGCAGTGATGCAGCCACATGAGCTTCACAAGTAAGGAGGAAGAACTGAAAGTAGAATCAGAATTTACTGGTTTTTAGATACTCAAAAAACTTGCAGTTGCTGAGTCAAATGCTCATTATAAGTACATGCAAATGCTTTTAGTCTGCTGGGAAGAGTATTGCATGTATGATTTGTTTTTTCCTGAGGACCCATGAGAGCTGCATGAAAAGCAGCTCAAGACAGCACCATGTGATTGGTGAAGTGTGTAGTGCTTTAGGCTTTTGCTGTCTGCAGAAGCTGAACATGCACCACAAGCTTTGTCATGGCATCCATGAGAAAAGAACTTCCATTCAAATTCTCAGTTTTGTGTGAACTTAGGTCTTCTCTTGGCTAACAATACTATTTCTTTTTGGAAAGAAGGCCTTGCACAACTGGTAAAAAATGTATGGATTGAACAGTTTGTTTCTGATGCTGGTAGGTAAATGCAGTGTCACTTGAGTACATGACATTCCTTTCCTTTTTTGTTGCAGTACTTACTGTCTTCATTCACATGCTGCAGCAGAGGAAGGTGATTTGCACTTCAAGAGGAGTAAGTTAGAGCTGAGCAAAGACCGGTATGGAAAACTCTGGGATTAATAGGTGCTTCCACCTAAGCTAAAGATGAAGAACTAGAAGCCCTGTAGGTAGGGATGACAGGGAAAAGTGTCATTGTTCTGAGATAACTGAAATACTGCTGGAGATGCATACTCTGAAGTATACTCATGCATGAAGGGATCATTTTCTTTTGAGATAGAAGGAAATGAAGAGGAAAGAAAAACTGGCAAAAAGGTATACAAAATATGTCAGTTATAACCAATGTGAGGTTTGCAGTCTAGATAAGGATATTCAAATAGTAGTACTTCTGCAATGCAGACATCTACTGATACCAACCCAGGCTTCCAGTGGGAGCTGCATGAGGAGTATCTTGGAGTAGCTGTCTATTGAATTAGTAAGATGAAGTTTCCTTCACGAAATAGCCCTCCTAGTTACAGGCCTAATAATGAAGATTCAGCCACATAGAAATGGATATTGCTTTATTACTTAAAAGGCATATTGAATATTTCCATTCTATTAATTGGAGTTTTTAAATTTTGTTTTGTGCATTGATATTAGGAATATTTGGGAGCGTATGATCAATTTGCATTATTTCCAGATTGCTTTTCTTCCCTTTACTGAGAGATCCTCTTCAAAAATGCACTTCTCAGCTGCAATCTTTGCATAAGTTCCTCTTCCCAAGTCAATTGTACAGTAACCCTGATAACTTTTGAGGAGTGAAATCCTTTTTATTTCTGA